AATCTTTTAAAGTTACTCAAACACCATTGCTAGATCCATGCAAAGTTCGGTTCCTCCACATAAAACTTGGACTAATGAAACAATTCGTTGAAGCTTCGGGCAAAGAATGGGAACGTCATGGGTATTTGGGAAACAAATTTGATGTTAGAGAAGAGGATATATTCGACGAAATTAATAAAACTGAGATGGTGGAGAGTACTTGGATGTCTAATGAACTAATATACATCTTTTGAAGACAAAAGAGTTCGTTACAAGCAAAAGCGTTAATTAAAATATATATATGCGTTAATATATTAGTTAACAAAAGTACAAAGACATACTCACACTGAAATATCTTACATCTGCGACGTACTATGAGAACTAGCTAGTCTAGCGATTCTTCTGACGACTGATACTAGCTGTGTACTAGATATTGTGAATATAATTCAGTGCTGGATGGGATTGTAGCCCGTAGTTGTTTTTCCATCATAAACACGAAGATAAAGTTTGATCAACATCAACAACAATATTTATAGATCGTAATTTTTTTTAACATACCTACTTTATTTTTAACATACATCAGCAATCAGTTTTGGAGATTTTAAGGAAAAGGTTGATCGTCACATATCTACGGCACTGGCAACTGAATTGAAGAAATTATTATGTAAGCGCTAAATATAGATAGGTATTATCATGTAAAAATTAATGAAGCTGCCATCACGCGTTCTAAAAAAAAATCCTCTAAAAGTTTAAAAGGTACATATGTCGTAAACGGTGCATTTGTTTTCGCTTATTTTTGCTATTTCCTTGTTATTTAGAGTTTTATTCTATGCTTATTAATTTGCAAAGATTGACTTTTTCTATGCGTGTAAAGAACAAGGTCATGTTTAAAAAAGAAATGCAGTTGATGATAGTAAATCTAGAACGAAACATCGAACTATAAAACCAGGATAAGAAAGTACTTAAACGGTTACCGTGAAGAAATGTTCTTCTTTAAATCTCGAAAAAATAAGTGAAATGTTCAGTTTTCTCAAAATATTAAAAAAAAATCATTTGCGAGCTATTTACGTCATTTCAATGATTCCATAATGACTCTACTTTTTTCTAATTTGAACCACCAAAGACATTCTTTACATTGGATACAATGCATATTAGCAGTTATAAAATAATTATTAAATTTTTTAAGAATAGCTTTGCAACATTTACATTTCAATTTTAAATAAACAGATAATTTTTTAAAGTAATAATATGTACCTACCTATATTAGATACTGTAACTTATAAAAGGGATGAAAATAGATTTACAGAAAATGGGCGTTCAGAAGCCATTAATAAACCACAGTTTTATTCAGGAGTAGGAAGGTATTCCATTATACCCACATCCCTTAGGTTAATAAAATCCGTTTTTTATTACTCAACATAGGGAAGTTTGTAACCGACCTTATAAAATGAAAATACCAATGCATATTCTAACAACACGAAAATTTAGTAGCTATAAAATATGTCTGCAACAAATTGAGATGTAATAGAGTGTAAATGAAGCTGTTATACGAGGAGATGATATTGTGTTATGTTAATGTGGTCAAAGTATAATAGCTCTTCGAGATCCAAAAAATGTTCAAATAAAACTTTAAAGAGGATCAAAATATATTTTAAAATTAGTTTAGAAAGTACAAGATGATAATAATGATTCTCTTTCCATTGCTGTATACTTGTTTTGGGGCGTATGGTGAGAAATATAAACTCATTATTTATTTGATTGATTTATAACATGTTTATATAAATCTTAAAATGACGTTAAGACAATGTGTTTGATCAATATATTTCCCCCTTGAACTTCTGTGTAACCACCAGTTACCAGCTTACTTGTTTTAAGTGTTTGGATATATTTAACTATTGTGCATTGTTTTACTTATTGCCAAATTAATAAGTAAGCAATACGAGGTCTGTTCAGAACCAATTTTTTTTAATTACGCGCTAATGGAGATATTTTGTCATATGCGGTTGGCAATATTGCGTTACGCTCAAACTCCTCTGTAATAACATATTCTTAGATTGTTGATATCTCATTTAGTTTTCGTAATATTGGTATTTGAGTGCAACGAGCGATTTTCTGAAACAACGATGCAATGTAAAATTTTGTGTGAACCCGGAAAAAAGCTTACGGAAATGATACTCTGGGTCGTACGTAATGTTACAAATGGTTTTCACGATTTAAAAATGGTCGTCAGTCAGTTAATGATGATTCTCGACCAGGAAGGCCTTCGACATCATCTGATGACTTCCACGTGCCGAAAGTCAAAGATTTGATTAGTGCAAATCATCGATTGACTGTTCTGCCAAGTTTTGACTGAAAAATTGAACATGCATCGAGTTGCAGCAAAATTTGCTCCTCGTTTGATGACTGAACAACAGAAAGAAAATCGTGTGGGCGTTTGTCGACAACTCCTTAAATAGTCCAATGACGATGAAACATTAATTCAAAGGGCTTTACCACTAGGATATTGAGACAAAAGGTCAATCAATACAATTGTTTGGCAAAGTATCTCCACGCCCTAAGAAAGCACGTCAGTCTCGATCCAATGTCAAAGTGAACTCACTGTTTTTTTTTCGACTTTAATGGAATTGTGCAATTTAATTCACCTCAAGGTGAAACCAGAGAACACTATACCAACGAGAAGCGACAGCAAGGCTTTCTGCATTAACAGTTTTCGTATGCGCATGCGCGAATTGGGATGTGTTGTTGTCAATTGTCAGTGGCTGTCAGAGTCGCCAAATATAAATAGGAGAAACGAGTAACTAGTAAATAGTTTTTTGGCGGTGGACACTTGTATTGTATAACATTATTTGATGGTGTATTGCATTTCGTTTTCATTTAGAATCAACTTGAAATCAGTAAAATGTATGGTTATTATTGTGCTTTTCGCGATTGTTCATCCAAAACTGGTAAGGATTAACCCTTTTGAGATTACATAAGGATTAGAAAGGTAATTATTATTATTATTATTTTATTTAAGTACCTACCTGTGAACTGTAAATCAGAAAAAAATATTTTGATTTTTAAAATAATGTGGTATGTTTTCTTGTAATATAGTATTGCATAAGTATAGAGAAATATCTTTAGGAGAATTTTTATTTTTGTTTGCAGTGCTCGTGTGTGGATAGAAACTTGCAATAGACTCGATTTACTGCCTAAGATTGTGGATGTATATAAGAATTATAGGCTTTGTGAACACCATATCGAAATCAAATATATTGGTAAAGGAAATGTAAGAATAATAACCTTATTGCCAAACGTAATACCTATACATTTCCTCAACTTAGAAATGGTCAAGAAGAACTAGAGGCAAAAATTGTGAAAGATTGTCCCAAAGAAGTTATTGCATTGTCAGGTACCTATTTTTAGAAAACTATTTCAAATATTACAAAAAAATATTATATCTGTTTAATAAAAATATTAGTTGTAAAACATCTTGTTTTATTTTTTTATATATTTATTATACCTAATTTGTCTACATTTTACCACAGTTATCCTTGTATTATATGAACAATGTTTGATACTGATGCAGTTCGTTCAGTGTACATCTATTCAAAAGTGTAACTTCTCTCAGTGTAAACGGTTGTGTTTCCGTCAAATTGGTTGACCTTAGCGTGACCACAAAACATCAAAGGAGCCGCCGATTCTGTCGCTTCTCGTTGGTATAGTATTCTCTGGTGAAACAGTGAACCGTGTGTAATATCAAGTTACGTGAACAAATTCGCAAAAAGAGACCAAACTCATGGATCTTGCACCATCACGACGCGCCCGCACACTCAGCTTAGTCAATTAGTCAGTTTTGTGGCAAAAATCAAATTACTATCATCCTTCATCCTCTTTATTCGCCAAACCTGGCTCCTTGCGAATTTTTCTTATTTCCGATATTAAAAATAAAGTTTAAAAAAATAACTTCAGGGATCCCATATTGAACCCTCTTATGAAGTTTTTCAATAATTTCGTTAAGGTGCCTCCTGAGACACCACTGCGTTTTTTTTTAATTTTGTATTTTTTCAGATTAAACATCTTAAAATGAAACTTTCCTGTTGTTTGAATGACTTTCGTATTGCACTCGACTTTGTTGCCGAGAAAAAAAAATATGAATCATGGCCCCTTTTATTAAAAATAAAACATGAATTCGTTTATGGCCCTTTTTATTAAAAATAAAACATTAATTCGTTTATTATTCTTTTTCTCACAAACGGTTCATTTTATCGACAATAAATAAGAGTAGGTACCTTTTTTAGTCTAAGGTTGAAGCTATCCAGATTTATTATTTTAAAGTCTTTGTCATACAGGGTGATAAAAATTTAGGCATTAAGTTGTAAAGCTAAGCCCGCCCACGGTAAACTAAAGAAGCTAAATATATTTAAAGGACACTATTTTAAGAGGTCCTTACTAGTATCCATCACATAAAATTTTTATTAAATTATATTAAGTACTTTAAAAGTTATTCAAGAAAAACCGATTTCCAGCGGCGTCGTTCAAGGACACATATCTCCGTAGGGAGGGCCTATACGAAAAAATTTTATAGGAACTTGTCATCTTATTTTTTCATGTTCTATTTGCGCCCGAGAAATTTCCCACATTTTTCCTGACACCCTGTATATTCTCGTATATCTATAAAATAAATTCCAGACATTTAACACTGTCAGAAAATTATTTTCTAATTACGTATTACAAATTAAAAGATTTTTCTAAATAGTATGGAAACGTAAAATTATTTATACTCTCATGTCAAGCCTTTATCATTACAAATTACCTAAATTAAGGACGACACGTTTTGATTATTGCGCATTCACAAAACACTGCGTATCCAAAGATATAGTTTTATTCCCTCTTACTTTTATTTCAACATTTCCTTTTGATCTTGTACGATGGAAGGATTTTTGTAATTTACTGTATGTTCCTAACAAAACATTAAGTAACCATACCTACACTATCCCTATTTTTTCTTTAAAAATTCACATTTTGAATAATTCACTTACCGGTGCAGAAATTTTGAAGTTGTTCCTCAAACACCGTATTGTTAACCACTGTGCCGTCAGATTCCGAATAGTTCGAAGATGAATTTATAGCCAAAGAGGAAAAGATCTCTTCGAAATAGTACGTGCAGGAAAATCGAGACTCCCAGAACTCTTTAAACCAAGGATTCCGGGTGTTGCTTTGTGGCTTTAGGGCCCAATAGTAACTGTCGAAGGAACTAACGTACGGCGAATGGATTCTTATCGACAGTCCACCCCAGGCTTCTTCTTCGTAGTCCTGAACAACATCGCCCCTGTCTGCCCAACCGTCACTGAAACGATGTGAAAATGTAATTAATTTACTGATTTTCAGTTGAGATAATATTAAACAAGATAAATATACAGATAGTTCGAATTCGAACGGAAGCTCAATTTCTCTAAAACCAAAAATATATCTAAGATCTATAAAAAATGTTGTGTAGTGCATATGGCTTCAATTCTTGATAAAATAGCATTACTCTTTATAATTAATGACATAAATGGTCAAACAATTCAAAAAGATTTTTCAAGGGAAATAGTCCACGTGAAAAGCAATTAATTCTTGGTGTCATTCATAATGTAAATAATTCCAAACGTTTGCTTTTTCATTTTTCCTCATTATAAAAAATGGTTGTTTCAAAAGATAAATTATAGTAATCGAAGATTATAAAGTATCAGCACTTTAAGTAGCGTATATTAAATACATGATTAAAATAAATAAAAAAAAAGTTCTGTAACAAAACAGTCATATGGAACTTTGTCAACATAAAAAATCAAATAAAATGAAAAAAAATACAGTAGTAGCTAAAACAATTTTATTTTGGAGCATAATAATTAGACAACCGAAGCTTTGTAACGACAATCAAATAAATAAACGGTAGTAATCTATATTATGCTAAGCGGCAATACCCGTTTTACAGTGCCTTCATAAATGCCCGTCCCACGTGACCAGATTTGTTTTGGCGCTCAATAAATTTGATTTTCTTAAGTCGGTGTTTCAGAAATTACCAAGGAAAAATTACCAACTAGGACCCTAGGTGAACTGTAAATCTAGAGGCGTTCGTAACTATTCGTGTTCTTTATGCCTATTGATTGTACAATTAATTTAGCAATGTTAACCAGAATTTCTATGTTTTTCTACAAATTAATCTTTCAAAGAAAATTGTTCTTTTCAGAACTCCAAAAATTCGACGTTTTTGCCGTAAGATAAACGAATATTTTAAGGTTATGTTTCAAATGTAAAATTTTTATTTCTTGTAGATTTGTGTAAAAATGCCGTTTATACTGGAACACGGCGAATTTATTTAGATGGTACATTTTCGCAGTAGTATACGGAACGCAGAACATAGATGGAACTTGGCTTTCCAATTCTGTATGGAGCGATTTGATGAAGCGTGTCCTGATGCTAATATCGTATATGATGTACTTAAAAACCACAAATTAATCCTTATTAAAAGATAATATGAGGAGAAATATTGTATTTGTAAGGGCAAGTCGACATGCACACCTACTGTCTTAACAGAAAATGTTGTTGAAGATATTCGACAACATATGGTGTGAAGTCCTAAGAAACCTGTTCGCAGTTATCTATTCAAACAGGTACCGCGATAAACTTAATATAGTTTAAATTATGTAATTTTTGTAACATAACGCTGAAGATAAAAAATAATTAATAATTAAATAATTTTGAAAAATTTTTATTATTGCAAATTCTTTAGAATACTTAAATATCATTATCAATAAAACCTGGATAAAGACACGTGGATACATCTTACAAAAAAATTCGATAATAAACGAAACGGCACAAATATCTCCAATACCGTTAGAGATAGGTATGGGGAACCTATACACAGTTCAAAAGAGTTTTAAATTTCCTAACTTCCAAAGTAAAAATATACTGGATGTCCCATTTAAAATAACTAAGTTATTGCTGTTTAAAGTTGAGAAAAGTATTCACCAGTTTTTTGAACACCCCATACAATACTAAGTCAATACAAATATAATAATTTATAACTTCAGGGATCTAAAATACACTCTCCCAAGCTGCTTCCTTAAAATTATTTTTTTATCGCAAATATTAAATTTCTACGCTAAGCCTGCATTTTCACTAAAATTGAAATATCTCACAAACAATAAGTCCTAGGTATGCAGAACCTTTAATAAAATTCACCTATTTTTTACGGTGCTTTCAAAAATGCAGTAAAATACAGGTGTTCCATTTAAAAACATATAACTTTGATATGGTACGCTTTTCCTGGACACCCTGTATATTTCAAAATATTTTTAAAATGTAGCCGTAATCAACCTACATATACCCACCTAAACAGGTTTCTATAACATTTGCCGTTTGGTCCCTATCCACCGAGGCGTTACTGGTAGCTCACCCTGTATGAGTAGAAAATATATTTTTCATACTTATAATAACAGTAATTATTTTAATAGCTTTTGCTGATACGTACCTATTGTATCAATATGTATGTATGTATTGTAATCAATACAGCCACACAAATAAAAAAAATTTCGTATACTTTTTAACACAGTATGACACCTCCTGTATTTTGACCCGCTGAAGACGATGGATCCATCAGAAAAGCTCCAACACGTCAGAGTTTTTTCCTAACCTCAAAAAATAGCTCAAAATCAGTGGAAATCTCGATTTTTTTTATTAAAATAGTTAATATGAAATTAATATACCTACATAGACGTGTTAATAGGGTCAAAATAAAAAAAAATATTCCTGCACTTTTTTCTCTAAAATCATCAACAAGTTACAACCATTTTTAACCAGTTTTAAGCATTATTAAAATGCCTATAACTCCCCAAGAATGCAGAGAAAAAAAGTGGAGGAATAATAACTTTTTATTTTGACCCATTTAACAGTGCACTTAAAATATCGCAATACTCGGATTTCCGTTTGCTGTTTTTTTTCAAAATCTTAACTATTTTAACAAAAAATCGAGATTTCCACTGATTATTAGCTATTTTTTGAGGTTAGGGAAAGATCCTGAAGTAATGGAGCATTTCTGATCCATCGTCTTCAACTGGTCAAAATACAGGAGGGTACTGTACTTATGCATACTTTGTTTTAAAGTGTTTCGGAAGTAGACAAAATATAAGCAACTCACGTGTACTATTTTCACTCAAGAAAGTGGCCAGTAGCACTGGCCTCGTGCTACAAAATTTCTATTCTACAAAACTATAAATTTTAAAATACCCATTTTTGGGATTATAAAATTTTATTTATCAATTAGGTACTCAGAAATTTAAAAAATTTAAATAAATTTAACAAAGATTTTTCATTTTCGAAAACAGTAATTTCAAATCACATGAAATATTGCTTAAAATAAACATGAGGTATAGTATTATATGAATTACGCTATCTTAAATACTAATTAATCTGGCAAATAGCATAAATTTGTGCAGCTGGCAGACAGTTTGGTATCCTGTAGTGAACTATCTAGGACCTAGTAACGAACGATAAGCAGTTTCTGATATATTCAGCAGTTTACTTTATGTAACTAATTATTAACTTAGTTTAAATGAATTTACCTACTTACGAAGTTCAGATACTGTTAGAAATAACTAGTAATTATTTAATACTGTATGGGCAACATGCCTCAATTAGCACTGAATTATACCAGCAATATCTGGCAAATAGCCTGGTAACTAATATACAAATTAAAAATTATATGTCTAAATATTAATAAAGAGGCACATACCCGGCAGTGAAATTGTTTAATAATGTAATCTTTTAAAGAAATATATTGTATTTTTGTTCCCCCAGCATCACCATTAAAAAAGACCAACACGTAAATATATCCGCGATCTTACTATTTCTAGGTTATTGTTTCACTGCTTCTCAAATGACCCCATTAACAAAGTAAAACTGTTTTTGTGGAACGAATAATTTTAGAATTGTTTTTGTTTTAGTTGTAAGTTCATTTAAATATATAAAAAAACGAGTTTTAAAACAACTCGTTCTGTGAGAAAACTGTAAGGGAGCTTTTTTTATAAATTTAAGAGGCATAAAAAACAGTAATTGAATTTGCACAACTTATTGGCGTTCTGAAGTTCCTAGTGGTATTGCCCTTCGTATCTGCTCGACTGGTTTTCATATTTGTCAAGTCAATTTAAAGGATTTTAATGAAATCAGTGGCTCAAGTTTCATAAGTCTCCCCATCGGCTCCCTACTTTACATCACATTAGCTGATCGGAAACCCGCCGACCCACCATAGAGAGTCCGAACGATGAAGCGAAACAGCTGATTTCCCCAATCGTCTTGCAAATAGTTTCAAAATCAAAGAGCAGCAGATCCCAACTTAACAAAGTGCCATGGACGGATGAACGTGTTTTTTTGGCCGTACTGTCATTGTTAATAGGTACGTATCATTCTACTCTTTGAAAAGCAATAAGTCACACAATAACGTACATATACGTACTACAAACTGAATAATTAATAACATAAAACTAACAATTCATGTTCAATTATAAAATATAGTGAAAACGTTAACAATATTAAAAATACGGAATAACGTAACATTCGAAAACAATTATAATCCTTATACATTACAAATATCTTATTCATTCATGTGTTTAAAATTTATGTTTTTGTCGTTCACTATTAAAAACACAGTAAAAGCTAGGTTAGTGACCGAAAAGTGGTTTAAATAATGATTTGAAAATATTTTGTTTCGGCTTAAATATGTATTTAATTTTTTTTTAATATTCGTTTTCTACTAATTTTTCCCCATTTTTCCTTAAAATTAATGACATTGTGTATGAATTACACTATATAATAAACGCATTCTTTTTAAAGTGTAGGCTTATTTTTTATCATATTCAAATTCATAATATTTTGTCCTTTATTTTATTACTGACATTTATATATTATAAATTATTTATGCCAGTTTGTCCTGTTGTTGACACTAATATACTGATAAATAATAAATAAATATTTATTTATGTATCTAAGCTTTTTGTTAATATAAACATTATAGTTATTTGAAAGCACCGTTGAAGGAGAATATAGGATTACTAAATATGGAAATTAAAAAACAATTTCTTCGGTCAAAATGTAATAAACTCTCGGTATTTTTAATTCCTTTTTATTAAAGTCGTATATCACAATACATATTTCTCTTTTAAGAATTTTCGTGTAAAAATAGTTCTTTCAGGCTCTTTTCAGTTTTATATGAGNTCACACAATAACGTACATATACGTACTACAAACTGAATAATTAATAACATAAAACTAACAATTCATGTTCAATTATAAAATATAGTGAAAACGTTA